CAACCTAGGAATCCGACTAATAATACTGCATTAGATGAAATGAAGGCATAGGAAACTAATAAATTCCTAAAGTGGAATCTTTTGATGGCAGTAAGATTGATTAATCTTTCATATGAAATTGAAGTCAACATTTGCAAAGATGTTCACAGAGTACATTCTTCATTTATTCTATATCTTTGAGAGTACATAAATTACTGTCTTTTCCAAATTAGTGTAATCAATCCGTTAGTATTGAGCACACCCCCTATTGAAAACGTTAATATCCCAGAATGAGCAATTGGGCCGTTAAATCTCGATGACTCGGGTTGATAAGAAGAACCGTTACAAGAGGAAAATTTTTTAGAAGTTAGGATCTTGCAAGTTTCTGCTTGGAAAAGATTTGAATTCTAAAGCTTTTGACGTATAAAATACTGCAGATAATTCTAGTATCCAACAATAAAATCTCGTCATTTAGGTTGCATCATTGATCATGGGCTCATGAAGGTCTATTATGATATGTCTCCATAAATAAATTTCTTTTCCAAAAGATGTTTGTTCGACATCTTATTTTCTCATTTATTCGAGCTTTTTTACACACACACACACATACATAACATGGATTTGAGTACATATAAATATACATAAAGACAAAAAATAGTGTAGTCTAGGGAAACATAAAGATTAACAACATTATTGAACATGTCAAATGCACACGTTAACCATAGCCAGGTAACATAGATCACAGCCCATAATCTGTAAGACAAAGATCATGAATCTTATTTCGTAACCCAATTGAAAAAATATTTTACTTCTTTTTATAAAAACGATGAATTGGAACTATCCGAATCACTTAATCTAAGAGTTTTTTTCGTATTTTAATTCACCTTCGTAATCCTTAATCTTTTAGTTTAACATGTTGACTATATTTTCCGATTCGGAAACTGTTTCCTTCATATCTGTAATAGTGATTGTAAGATCACTATTCGTACTTGTAAGATCACCCATTTTACTGTCCCAATCAGAGCCCGAAAACGAACCGAACTCGAACCGAACTAAGATGGTTCGGTTCGGTTCGAGTCAATCCGAACCGAACTCGAACCACTTTTTGAAAAATGCTGTTGAACCAAACCGAACTCGAACCGTTTATTGAAAAGTGCTGTCGAACCAAACCGAACTCGAACCATTTATTGAAAAATACTGTCGAACCAAACCGAACTCGAACCATTTATTGAAAAATGCTGTCGAACCGAACCGAACTAGTATTAATTGAACTGTCATCTATTTCTTAAAACATCTGTTGTTAACAATGAGTGACCGTCCGTTGACCGATTATTCTACATTGTTTTATTCTTTTATCATAACAAATACAGACAATTTACTCATGACAATTGGTCACTTATGCACAGAGAAAAATTTAATTTATTTCCTCTATCTGTTCGATTGTTTCATGCGTCATATACGGACGGCTGCTCGTCTAGTTGACAACAATGTAATTTTCTAAAATGATCGACATATCATCTTTTCTTCTTGTGTATATATTGAGGTGACTCGAGTTTCTTTTCTCATAAACTACTCACTTCAACTTATTGTTAAAATGGCATCATCTAACTCTTCAATTTCTCATTCGTCAATTCAAATTTCATCTACAGAACCTACCATCAACTCGACTTCAAATTACACTTCGGAGTCCATTAAATTATTATTGATGAATGATAATACAAATTATAAAGTTATACCAAATGAAAGTAAACGTGTCTCAGCAGTGTGTTGGAAGAGAAATGAAATGGGCTTTCCAGCTAAAAAGTTACATGGTAAAGAAGAATTTATAGCAATTCCTGGTTTTGCATCTTGCTTTAAATGTTTGGAAACTTATCGTTATGTAAATTCAAGCGCTACTCACATTAATTCTCATAAATGTTCTAAATTATTATCGTCAACCCAAACATCTCTGGATCAGCATTTTTTATCAAAATCAAGTCCTCGTCAAACTGATCAGCGCACAGCTCCTGTTACAAAAGCTATTGCTAAAAGAAAAGAAGAAATGAAGAAAGTCTGTGCTCGATGGATCGCCCATTCAATGCGATCTTTTCAAATTGTTCAAGACTTCGGTTTTAAAGCTGTGATCGATGAATGTCTAAAAATTGGTAAGAGATACTTACTTTAAAGCGATTCGACAAATCGTTTTCTGATTTCAGGTCGAGAATTTGGTCCTGATACAGTATTATCTTCTGATGATGTTATTAGCTGTGATCGAACAATTAAAAATGAAATACAAAGATTAGCTAAGGATGAAAGGTCATTACTCAAGGATCGTTTGTTGGAAGCTGTCAAACATGGTGGTGTGTGTATCAGTCGAGACATATGGAGCGACAAGTATCGTAAAATTTATTACTTAGGCGCAACAGCACATTTTGTTGAAAAAGATGGTAAATATTACTCGGTTGATTTATTTTGTACTGAATTTAAGGCAAGAAAGAAAAGTGGTGAAAATATAATGAAAGTATGAAAATCAAACTATTTTTTTGTGTTAAATCATTTTCTTTGTTATTGCAGCTGTTACGCAAGGAATTATTAGTTTTTGGACTAGAAGACTATCTGTCTGATATAGTATTTGTTACTGATCGTGGTAGTAATTTTATTAAAGGTCTAGATGGTTTTACGGTGCTTTTTTGTACAGCTCATCGTCTTAACAATATTCTGAAGCACACTTTTTATCAAAACTTGTTAAAGGAAAAAAAGAATGATAAAAATAAAACAACAACAGTTACTGAACGAATAGAAAAAACACCTAATAAAACAACTAAATACAGAACCACAATTGAAGCATCACCAGAAATTGATTTTCAGATGGAATTACTTAATGGTGAAAATGATTATGAAACAGATGATTCCGAAATTAGTGATGATGATGATGGCATTATCGATTATTCATCAACTACAATTTATGACCTACCAACATCTGCAAGAGAAATTTTAGATACTATTCATTATTGTAAAGCTTTAGTAAAATATACCAAAAAGGTAACAAACAAAATGCTATTCTAATAGAATTAGACTGTTTTTAAATACCTTATCGCTGTTATTTAGGTCAACCTTGATCGATATATTCAAGTTGAACAAGAAGATGAATATGGTTCAACAGCTGTTGATGATAGTCATAAAAAACAATTTTCAAAATTTACCACGCTTCATCAATCTTCGGTCGTGCGATGGCTCTCTTTGCATGAATTATTATCAAGTATTGAAAAAGCTTATCATCCTCTGAAAAGTATTTTATATGAAAAACAAGAGTCGTCAAGACTCGAGAAGATCAATATGAATATAGTTAGTCAATTAATAAAATTTTTGGAACCATGGAAATATGTAATGAATGAAATTCAACTTAGTAATTCACCATCATTATTTTTGACATTACCTTGTATCGGTTATCTAAAACAAGAAATTATAAAAATAGAACGGACAATGAGAGGTGGTGAGTTTTTCCTATTAATAATATAGAATATTCTTACGCTCTTTCTCCTATTGTTTTTTAGGTATGAAATTCTTCGCTAAACGAGCATCGCAATTATTAGAATCTATGTTTAAAATTGAAAATTTGCACGTTATGGGTACATTTTTACATCCAAATTATAAACAATTAAGACATGCTACACAAATGCAAATAATTGAATGTCATTCTTCATGCCGAATGGCAATTCCACCATCATCAACTACGACTAGACATGTGCGGGACCAACTTTTTTTGGTCCCGGTCCCGGTCGTTGGTCCCGGTGAAATTGAATTTTGGTCCCGGTCTGGTCCCGGTCCTGGTAAATTTTTTTTTGGTCCCGGTTTGGGTCCCGGTGAAAATTTTCATTTGGTCCCGGTCCCGGTCCCGGTGGAAATTTTCCTTTTGCTGCTGATTCCGGCGAAATTCTGTTTTTTAGTCCTGGGCTCAGTTAACACATTCGCTACGATGTGGCCTAACAGTGAGCCACGCTACATTTTAACGAGAAACTGTATAGAAAAGTACTTTATTTTTCTTTGTTCTTAGACAGGAGGCTGAACATAATGCTTTATCTGTTCTGCCTTCAGAGCTCTTTTTGAGTCCGTTATTCCATAGCATGATGGGTCTTGTTAAAAAAATCAAGACAAAAAAAATTGTTACTCACAACAGAACGTTTTTACTTTCTTTGCTACCGCATAGCTCGCTTCTCTTGACTGTTGTGCCCTTCCTTTCGCAAAGCAGCCAGTACAGCGTCTGCGGACATTGCCCTTAAATCCTTCCTTTTCTTCGAGCTTGCGATTAGTGAATTCGCGCTCGAATTGGGTTGCTGATTCAACTTCTCGAATGGCATGTCATGCTGAAATGACCTCACAGGAGTTTCGCCAAACTACAGGATGGTTACTTCGCTACATGTGATATTACAAATGGAAGAGAGAAAACGACAGATCAGTATAGGATGAAAAGACCAAGCAGTGCATTTATCGCAAGATGAATGCAGAAGAAAATGAATCTCTAGAGCTACTCTTTAATAAAACCGAATCGCGTCGAATGTGTTTAATTTGGTTTTTGTTCCACACCCAGTCTAAGTAACCTTACTTTTTCTGTTATTTATCCATAGTCAGAGAAGTTGTTGCAGAATCTGCCGGTTTTAGATCTGGAGCAGTTCTCACTTCTATTTCCGCCGATGTTTCTTATCAACGACAAACATGACCGGGACTAAATTGTTTTTCGATCCTGGTCCCGGTCCCAGTAAAATTCTATTTTTTGGTCCCGGTCCCGGTCGCGGTCCCGGTAAAATTCTATTTTTTGGTCCCGGTCCCGGCTACCGGGACCGGGACCGGGACTGGTCCCGCACATGTCTAACTACGACAAATATATCATCTAATGATTGTAATGATATTAATGAACCTTTAAGAAAGAAACCAAAACTTTTCTTAGAATCATTAATGGATGATATAGCTCCAGTTGTAGTGCCACAAACAAAAGATGAAGTCGATTTATATATTGATTTTTAACTTAAGGATAATGAGATTTATACAAATCCACTTATATTTTGGCAACAACATCAACCAATGTTTCCTTATTTAAGTAAACTTGCAAGGAAAATATTTGCTGTTCCTTGCAGTTCTGCCGCTGTGGAACGTGAATTTAGCGCAGCTGGGCAGGTAGTCACACAGCGCCGATCTGGTCTCGAACCAAGTACAGTTAATGATATACTTTTTCTACGCTCAATAGAAAATAATAAAAGACATTGATAATTGTATTTAATATAAATATTTTTCTGTACTCTTGTGTCGTATTGTTTTTGTACTTTTGACTATTCAACTTAACCATGTCATTCTTATGTGAATCAAAATGAAAGATTATATTTATGAAAAGCTGAATAAATGCTAAAATACTTCTTGCAGTTGAGAGGAAATCACTATTTATGCATTGGACAGGGTATTTTATAACACAGTTGTGAATGTAATTGAGTTTACAAGGTTTTCTTAGAGACAGTAGATGAAATCTTGGTTAGAACAAACGAACCGAACTCAAACTCTCTTTTATAAAATAAAGCCGAACCGAACTCGAGCCCTCTTTTATAAAATAAAGCCGAATCGAACCGAACCCGAACTTGTTCTGCAAAAACGAATTCGAACCGAACCGAACTCGAACTTGTTCTACAAGCATGAAGGCGAACCGAACCGAACCCGAACTTGTTCTGCAAAAACGAATTCGAACCGAGCCGAACCCGAACCAAGTTCTAAAAAGTGAAAACCAATCGAACCGAACTCGAACCAACAAAAGTCGGTTCGATTCGGGCTCTGATATAAACGACCTACATTGAATAACAAAAAAATTCAATTAAAAAGAATTTTTGTAATAAATTCGATACAGACAAAAAAGTTGACTTCTATATTAAACCAAACAGCATGAAGTTTTTGATGGAATTAGATCTATTTATTTACATTTTAAAATTTTTCACAATTTCTTTACATCTTTAGTGTTAATGCTTTACTGTTTTGTAAATCTCATGTAGTTTTTTCTTCTCTCCTACATATCTTATCAATCAATCTTTTCTTAAACAAAAATCAAGTGAAACTTACGATAAGTATTTAACATAGAAAAATAATTTTGGCTTATCTATCAATCTGCAAAATGAAAAATGTTGATCAAAACAAAGCAGCCAGATGTATTCAAGATGAACTTATAGATTAAAAAAAATATAATCAATAAATTATAAGGAATAATTAGCAAGGGAGCGAATAATGATTTTCTAGTTAGAACAAATATATTAAAAGTTTCGAAAATCATCTGGTAGATAACACAAAGTAGAACATAAAATGAAAAAATAAAATGTTTTTGTAGTTGATCACTGTGACTAGTTAATAGTATACTGGACAAATAATATATTAAAGAACTAGTCTTATTATATTCTGAGTATGTAGTTACTAAAGACAAGTCAATGTAATTTAGAGTTAGAAAAACAATCAATAATTACTTTAATGATGTTGCCTAGAATATGAGTAATCAAACAATAATTTGATTAAAAAAAGACCTATGTCAATATTTACCATAACGATACCTAAGATAGGTGAGTGTCTATGGGTTCTAAATGCTTTGAAAACAAGATGCACCTCACGTCTGAATTATATGTTACTCATATCTAATCTAGACGTCAGACAAATCGGCCGTCTTCTAAGACATATAGCATTTTCTGTAGTCTAAGCAAACAGTACAGTCATTACAGAAAGAGTGCTACCTCAAAAGACAGGAATTATAAGATCGTACGAGCGAAGCAAAAAATATCTGTGTGCAGTCGGTATTGACTTGTAGAGAACAGAAATAGAGGAATATAGTTTGTTGAAAGCAGAGAGAAAAAAACATTGTATAGATTTTTTATGCATTTTTTTGGCTTCACACGCATTTGAATGCTTCGCGATATCTCTAACGCTTGTTTTGGATGTTTTTTTCGAGTGTAGAGAATAGAATGAGATTGATATAAAATGTCATGAGGAAATAAAAAAAAATATTTTGTGTAGTCGATGTAGACGTACCGAGAACAGAACGAGAAGAATATAGAATGTTAGGAGAAGGAAGCAAAAAAAAAATGCTTTTTCTAGTCGATTCTGACCTTTAGAGAACAGAAACAGAGGAATATAGTTTGTTAAGAGCAGAGAGAAAAAGAATGTTTTTGTGCAGTCGACATTTATTTGTAGATAAGAGAACGATATATGCATAGATAATTTTATCCCGTCTAGTCGATGGTAGGTTTTAAAATGCGTCCGATATCGACATTTGTTTTCTGTAATTTATTTGTACGTATAATACCGTTATTCGTTTTTCATTATAAAGAAGAGAGTATGCGTTATGATAGAACGCAAGAATTTTTTTTCGTTTAGGGTGAAAATTGAGTCTATGCACCTTGTTAAGTAGATATGCAACAGTGCCAGTTCAGAACTGGAGACTGGGTATTTATTTAACTGATCTCTAATGTAATCAATCATTAGTAATTTCCTTATGTTTATATATTATATTATCTAATTATATGGAGGTAGCCATAGGTCCTGAAGTCCTACTATTTGAGGGTACTCTTAGGTCCTCAAGTCCTATTATATGGGGTATCTATAGGTTCTCAAAGCCTTTTGTATGAAGGTACCCGTATGACCTAAAGACACCCCCCATGTAAAAAAAATAAGCAGGAAAATCAACAGATGCATGATTTTAATCGATTTCAGGAGTAATTAAATGATGAAAATCAAGCAATGTTGATGGTTTTTGATTAAATGAAAGCTTATAATCGGTTTTTTCGCATAATTGATTACGAATCATTAGTTTTTAACCGATTATAATCGTTTTCTTCACTGAAATTGATTAAAATCAATGTACAACGAGCATAATCGATTATCTTTGATTTTTTTAAAATCAATTAAAATCAATATTTAGCAGTAATCAATTTTTATCAGTAGTTGATGATTTTTTTTTGATTTAAATCAAGGAATGCTGATTTTAATCCACCATAATCACTTAGGTTTTCGAATCGATTATAATCGCTGGGATAAGAATCGCCTTAAATCAGGTCATGCTGATTATAATAAACCGCAATCAATTAGATTTTTGAATCAATTATAATCACTAGGATAAGAATCGTCTAAAATCAAGTCATACTGATTATAATCCACCGCAATCGATTAGTTTTTTGAATCGATTATAATTATTAGTAGGGATGCACCATTTAGCTTAACTTAACATTTAGTTTAGTTTTATGGTTTTACACTTAATATCAAGTTCAACTTTTTTATACTAAACATCGAACTCACTTAAAATTAGGTTTGAGTAATTGGTTTACAAAAAATTTACTCAAGTTTGAGCCTTTCATTACTCATAGAGAAAATGTGATGCTTTTTTCAACCATACAAAAGAGGATTCCTGATAACCTCTCATCAGTCCCGAGCAGCAATAGGTTTTATTCCTACAACAGACAGAAAAATCGCCATTGACATGTGTTTAGTTGATGCCTCTTTTCTATTGACCAATCAGATTCCAGGAAGCTGCCTTCTCCGCTATTGACAGGACAAGACCTGTTTTTGTTCGGAGCCGATTAGAGGTTATCACGGGTCCTCTTTAATATGGCTCAAACAGTAGCACTGTGCTGCGTCTATTTAGGGGTGATGAATAACTTGAAATTAAATGCTATTGATTTACCGCAATCACTTAAACTTGATATTAAGTATTAGGTTTGTTATTAACACTTAATTTTTAAAATAAAGTTTTCAGAAGAAAATCTTAAACCTCATATTAAGTGTTAGATAGTAAAACTTAAATTAATTTCAAGTAAATGATCCATATATAGTCATCAGGGTACAGGTCTGACGAGGAAACATTCAAAGATGCTAAAAAACTTTTGAGATCAAAATTTGTCCAACGACAGGGCACATATACACTAGACAAGACCTAAAAGGATATGGGCGCAAGTTACAATTTGGTTGACATATTGACGTTGTTGTATAATTTTTTCACCGGAACCCTGCTTGTCCAATAAAATCAAAGTTTCCAATTTTCACCAGAAACTTTGTCTATATCAAGACCTTAATTAACCCAGCTTGCCTACAAAGTTTTACAATTTTGGACAACTTTTCCTCCAGATTCTAGAATGTTATCATGAAGAGCTTCTTTTATGGATAATGTCTTATGCTTAAATATTTTGCAAAACTCATCTCTTCGCGATAAGTTGTCAAATGATGTTAATACTTTGTAGGCAAGCTAGTCTAAATGAATTCTCGATGTGGGCAAAGTTTCTCATCAAATTCACAACTTTGATATTATCGGAAAAATAAGGTTCTGCTGCGAAATTATGCTACGCGGTCGATATCTCAGCCTAATAGCAACTTGTATTCATATGCATTTAGGCTTTTTCTGCAGTATATGTGCCCTATCGATGGTTAGAGTTTGAACTCAAAATCATTTAGCATTTGGAGAGATTTCCTCGTAAGGAAATCCGTGTAAGGTTGTAGGTGTAATTATATACTCTTGAGGATACAGTAATAAGGGTACACACATAAGAATATATTCATAAGGATGTTGGTATAAAGATATCGTCACAAATGTATAGTCACAAGGATATCGTTATAAGGGTATGGATAGAAGGATATAGGTACAAGATATAGTCATAAGAGTATAAGTATAAGAGTATAGATATCAGGATATGGGTATAAGGGTATAGTTATATCGGTACTCTCTAAAATAAATCCGTTTCCTGAAAAACTGAAACTCCTTCAGAAGTGTATTCGTAAATCTTTAGATATTTCCGAGAAGGCTTTCGAAGACTTCCACCATTCCTGAAAATAGCTTCTTGGTTTCCAGGGGTTTTGAAACAACAATGTCTCCTAAGAGACCGATTTTAACGCTCTGACAGTATTGTGAAATGTCTTTTTCTTGCTTTCGAAGAGCAAACTGTATTTTCAAAAACCTTTAACGTATTGTGAGAAACTAATATTGTCAGAAAACAGAGATGGCACCCGAAGTGGATCGC